CTCCCCCCCGCCAGTGCACAAATTTTTGTGCACCGGGCCTCTAATATATATATATATACATATATATATCCCCACAAGATTCTATTATTATTGTTGTTGTTCATATGGCTCATGTTCACTTAAATTCACTCACATATTTGCCTTTTTTTTTTTCATTTCTTCCTGCATTTGGAAGCTTGCATATGGGTAATTTTCCTCCTGCTTGAAGGACACTCATTAATATTTCTTTTATAGTGTGTCTGCTGATGGCAAATTCTCTCAAGCGTTTGTTTCTAAAATGACTGTATTTCATCTCCATTTTTTTTTTTTTGGTTATATAAATCTAGATTGGCAGTGCTTTTTTGTTTGTGAAACTCTCTAATGGCATCTGGTCTAACCTCCAATTATCAAGAGAACTATAATTTTGGTTCTTACAAAAGAAAATCTTAGTCATCATATTTCATTATATCTGGGTGAACATAAACTCATTTTCTAAAGTTGGAGTATAGAACTGTGGAACCCCCATTCGGGGAGAAAACCACACTCCTTGCCCACCCCTCCCAGTTTACACAGGTCAGAACAAATAAAATGAATATCAGTATTTCCCTGACAAAATACTGTCAGGGAAATGGGTTGAATTGGCAAGGGGCAGTTCCCAAAGCAAAACCCTGGATGTTTGCTGCAATTCTCCAAGCTTTGAGAATTGTTCTTTTCCTCTCCCTCTTACCTTCCTAAACATATTCATTCATTTATTCTCTCAAGTACTTTTAAAGCTCTTTTTAGTGATAGATACTGTAAATCCTTATAAATCAGACAGGGCCCAGTTTGCAAGGAGCTTCCAGTAGAGAAGATAACAGGTACATAAATACCAAGAACCAATTAAGATGTCATAAGAGACAAAAATCCTTCTAGTTCAGAGAAGTAAAGGATTACTTTGGGGGAATAAGGATGTTAGGGAGAAAGAATCAGGAAAAATGCCTCCAGGAGGCTGTATTTGAGCTATACCTTTAAGAAGAGAAGGAATTTGGTCATGCAGAGTTGGAGACAAGTGACAAGGGCAGGTGACAAGCTCTTCTAGGAAGCATTATCCAGGGAGGAATTGGCAAGCACTACCGTTAGGCAGGATTACATGTGCAAAAGAGCAGTGTGTAATAAGAGCAATACAAGGCTGCAGATGGCTTTGCAGGCCAGGCTAAGTTCTCATTGAGACAAGTGCTCAGCTAAGCATGTCTGAGTAGCAAAGGAATCTATCTACCTACCTATATATCTATCATCTATCTATTTACCTATCTACCCATTATCTGACAATCATCTATTGGAGACGAGCTCTGTGCCAGGTATTTTGCCATGTGCTTTATACACAGACTTTAATTAAATTTTCCTATTCGACTGTGAGATAGGTATCAGGATCCTTAAATAGCGAAGGTGCCCCCATGCCTTCAATTTCGTAACTCGATGCACACTGGCATGCCTGTTGCCTTCTCAGGATTGTGTATGGACGTGACTTGGAGTGGCAGCTTGAACATTAAGGTAGATCCCTCTAAACCGCAGAGGGTCTGAGTTCATTGGTAGAAGGTCCCACAGCCAGTGAGTACCTGGAACACGACTGGAACCGAGCTAGCCCCAGGGAGCCGTCCCTACCTCTGGGCACCCGCGCAGCAACTGGCCTGGGGCCCCCGAGGCACCAAGCGGCCAGCGC